CGTTTTATGTTTAAGTAATTTGTTTTTATTCCTATTTTGTTTCTTTAGATTGTGTTATATTAAAAATGGCTGCTTAACTTGATCAATATGGCTTTTAGTCTCTCTTGAGCTGGTCTTTTCTGCTTTACTATGTTGAGGTACAATAATGGATGATGGTGATCAAAGTTCCTAATAATCACCCTAGTGTCACTGGAATAAACTATTGATCATAATGCGTTAGCCTTTTGATTCACTCAAAAGTCTGTTGATGAATTATTTTGAATTTTTGCATTTACTTTTTTTAAAAAACGTGTGAGAGCGAGAGCGAGCGTGTAAGCAGGGGAGGGGCAGAGAGAGCGAGGGAGAGACAGAATCCCAAGCAGATTCCACACTCAGTGCAGAGCCTGATTTGGGGCTCGATCCCACAACTGCAAGATCACAACCTGGGCTGAAATCAACTTAACAGACTGAGCCACCCAGGGGCCCCATGCATTTACGTTCATAAATAATATTGGTCTATACTTTTCTTCTTTAAAATTTGTCAGGTATTAAAATTATGCTGGTTTTCTAAAATGAACTACAAACCTTTTCATATTTGCTGCATCCCCTAAGAGTAGAAATAACACATTTTCTGTTTTATAAAGGTTAGATAAGACTCAGCTGGCAAATCGTGGCGCCCTGGTGACTTTTTCCAATCGTAATTGTCAATCACATATATAATCTCTCCTATACTAATCGGCTTTGTCAAGTTTTCCATGCTTTTTGGATCAATTTTGGTCCTTTGCATTTTACTAAGAAATCAACCCTGTGTTTTTCAAATGTGTTGCCAGAGGACTGACTGCAGGTAAGCATTTCCTAGAGCCTGTTCCTTCCTCCGTATCCCTCATTCCCGTCACCTGTGTTTGCTCTCCCTTTTTTCTCGGGGTAATGAGGCCCGTAACCAGCCAAGGGATTTATTTACCCTTCAACATTTGTTTTCTGCTTTATTAATTTTACACTTTTACCTTTGTTATTTCATCATTCCTCCTCCCCAGCTTTTTGTTTGCTTAGTTGTTCTTTTTCTAAGTTCTTATGATGCATACCCCACTATTTTTCATCTGCTTTAAAATTTTTTTTTAATGTTTATTTTTGAGAGAGAGACAGAGTGCAAGTGGGGGAGGGGCAGAGAGAGAGAAGGAGACACAGGATCCGAAGCAGGCTCCAGGCTCTGAGCTGTCAGCCCAGAGCCCGACGCAAGGCTCGAACCCACGGACCGCGGGATCGTGACCTGAGCCGAAGTCGGATGCTTAACCCAACTGAGCCACCCAGACGCCCCTAATCTGCTTTAATAAAGGTAGCTTTCCCATTCTAGGGGATATTCCCTTTCTAGGTGATCTACACTATTTCGACTTTCTTTTAAAATAAAGAAAAACACCTGAAACGAAAATTTAAGAGCCATGATGCAAGTAAGCAATGGAACTAAGTGGGCATGCTAAGAGCAGGAGATTAGTAAACCAGCAGGACAGGGGGAAAAGTCGTCCCTATTTCATTAGTACAGGCCCGGTTTAAACAAAATTCTCTTACTGTGTTGTCAGGTTTTCACCCTGCATGTCACATTTTGGGAAAATGACTGGATTCATATACAGGTTACAAAATTACCACCAGAAAAGGGGCACCTGCGTGGCTCAGTTGGTTAAGCATCGACTTAAAAAAATTTTTTTTTAACGTTTATTCATTTCTTTGGGGGAGAGACAGACAGACACAGCATGAGTGGAAGAGGTGCACAGAGAGAGAGAGAGAGAGAGAGAGAGACAGAGACAGAGACAGAGACAGAGACAGAGACAGAGACAAAATCCAAAGCAGGCTCCAGGCTCTGAGCTGTTAGCACAGAGCCTGACACAGGGCTCCAATCCACGAGTCGTGAGATCATGACCTGCGCCGAAGTTGGACACCCAACCGACTGAGCCACCCTGGCGCCCCAGGCATCCGACTGTTGATCTCAGCTCAGGTCACAATTGCACAGTTCATGGGATCAAGCCCCGCATGAGGCTCTGCGTTGACAGTGTAGAGCCTGTTTGGGATTCTCTCTCCCTCTCTCTCTGCCCCTCCCTTGCTCATGCTCTCCCTCCCCCTCCCTCTCAAAATAAACAAACTTAAAAATAAATTTCCACCAGAATAAATGCTGCAGTCACTGTACATTCAGCCTAATACTAAAATTTCTATCTGTAATCAGAACAGTGTTTCGAATCCAGAGCCCCACAGATACTGCACCAACAAAAATGGGCTCTTATGTCACAACAGTGAACTTACCAATCCAAGAACGTGGCCTGATGCCTTTGAGATGCATCTTTAGGTCGGGCTGATGTAAACCTTCCCAGGTAATAGAAGAACTCATCATCCAGAACCCACGCCGTTTCCAGGTTCAGCAATGTATCATGTAAGCAGCAACCTCGTCCGTGTGATTGCCTCAGACAGCAAATCTTAAAAATCGATGCCAAAGGGACAGAAAGAGGGTCTGCGTATCCCAGTGTGAGTGGCTCTGACCTAATTAGAAAAGTGTCTGAGGCCAGAAGCAAAACTGCTCCTGTTTCCTTAATCCCCACTACAGGGAACTCTAGAAGGCTTACAAGGTCCCAATCTGGCCTGGGGAAACTGAAAAGGACACTCAGATAAAATCACATTCATTTATGCTCTACTAATTCAGAATTATTTTTATGATCTCGAAAGGTTTGGACTCAGGTTTCCATTTTTAGACCCTATGACAACAGGCAGAGAAGGAGGCTCAACCTACTTATGGGAACAAATTTTAGAAGCTCTGACTCATGTGTAAACAACCAATGTGCTAATCATTTATCTGTTGGTTAAAGCAAAGACTTCTATTTGGGTTGCTACCCGAAGTCCTTTTTGAAACCAAAAAGAAATTAACATTCTCTGCATTTAATTATTTTCTCTTTGTTCCTGAACGTTTTCCCCAGCGAATCCTAGTAAATAAAAGGTTATTATTAAACCCCCATTAGAACAGGAACTGTTTGGTGGTAGGAACCACTGAATTGTTCCCGAAGGTCTTTCAACCAGCGAGGAAATGCATCCCTTCGCTTCAGGCGATCCGCACTGCTTCCGAGCAAGGGCCACGATTCCACCTGACGTGAACATCCAGTTGAAGCAACCTGCACATCCTAATCGACAACCCGATGTCAGACACTAGCACGTGTGTTGGTGCAGAAGCAAGGTCATGTGTATGACTGCACCCTGAGAACATGATTGGGAGGTGGGTCTCTAGGAATCCACTGGCTGGTTGTGCACTAGAGGGGCAACCCAAACCTTCGTACGTTCCTACTTCCTGTCATCTGAGTCCTGGAGACAATGCCCCCGACACCTAGCATCTCCTAACTGCCTTTACCCCATTCTGCAGGGGGTGAGCTACTACGCCAAGAATTAGGAGTCATAGTTCACATTCAAGGCCCAGTACTGGCTGTAAACAAATGGTTTCCAATTCCCCAGAAAAACCCTTACCAAGGGGTATTTGGTCGGCTGTGTTCTTTCTGCATGGCACACCGCTTTTCATCTGTCAAAATTAAGTGAGATAATCTGTTTTCCAAGGTTCAATGGCAATCAGCTACGTGTTGTGCTTCAGAAATAAGCTGGTTGGGCCAGATATGCTCATATTATCATCTGAAATACTTAAACTTCACTTTCTGGCGGAAATATTTCTAACCCTTCTTCTTCTTAGCAAACAACTACATGCTAAGGCTCAAAGAGAAGGGAGGCGTATTTCACAGTGCAAAGGCCAGGGGGTGGGGGCAGGCCCGTTGAAGAGGCTTCTGCTTGTGTAAGGTGGGGTGGGAGGCTTGTGTGTGCACATCTCCCCCCATCCCCATCACAACACGGTGCCTGGAGGAAGGGGAGAGGTGAGGGGGGGAGGTGGAGAGCGGGGAATGCAGGCGCTCCTGCTGCCAGGCCTTGTGGGGTCAAGGTCACATGGACCATCTGACCTCCGCATGATCCCTCAACGCCCAGCTTCACCAGCCACTCCGCTGTCGCCCTAGTGGTGTAGTCTGTCCCCCTGCCTCCCACCTGCTCTCTCTCTACTTTGTACTGTTTCTCCCGCAAGTTTTAGCCAGGATGCCAGATCTCCATGCCGGAGTTCCTGCGTCGGTATAGATGGATTCATCACTCCGCTGGCAGTGTGCGTCCTCCAGGGGCTGAGGGCAGTCGGTGGCGTTCCCCCTCTACCCCCGGCCAGCACAGCTCCTCCAACACAGTACAGGAGACTGGTGTTGTCCAAGTGGAAAACCTGTGTGATCGTTAAACCGACTCGGCCAAGCTCAACTATGGCGCACTCAGGCTGGAAGTTTTGGGGGATCCTGCACTCTGTGCACAGGGAACAACCTCAACTCTTCCGAGAACCGCCTTCTTGCAGTTACAAGGAATGAAGGAAGCCTTTGTAGAGAGGTTGCTCTCTGAGTGGGGCCTCACCAGGTAAGCAGGGCTCTCTGTCTCTCTCTCTCCTTCACTCACACACACATACCCCACTGGGTGAAGAATGGCAGGGGAGGGGGGAATCAAACATATAGGCGACTTGGGCAATTCAGCTTGGGTGCAGCAAAACAGGTGGAAAGGAAGTGAACGGAAACTGGGCTGAACCAAATTACACTCCACCTGAATACCAGGAAAGGGGTATGGGGCCCGTTTTTTCCACAATACTGTCCTTTCCTTTCCTAATTACTAGTGATTTCCACCATTTCTCTGTGAGTCTTCAACTAATGACTAATGAAAAGCCCTGAGATTTCACGATTCTACTTCCTACTTGTTTTCTATTCTTATTCTATACCAATTAACTTATTCATCGTGTTTCCCTCTCCCAAATGACAAATCCACAGGCCCTACCTATCGGCTGCCTCTCCCTCCCCCTTCCCACGAGTCAAAACAAGCCAAGCTGCTTATGATTATAAAACAAACTTTCAAATATTTTTACCAAAAACATTTCTCCTAAATATAACTTCCATTATTTTGAAAAAGGCCAAATATTTTTGCCAGGTGACTACATTTATCTCTCTTTAATCTCTGTTATTCCTTTGGCCATTTGGGAACACAACAGATTATAAGGAGTATTGGCTCAGCGCTCTACTGTTCACATTTCTACTGACCCACGATGCTTAAGTACCAGCTGGAAGGAGCGGACCATAAAACCACATTAATTCCCTAACAGTTCGTGAAGAGAACTAATGATCCACACAAAGTACCAGGAAATGCAAATAGGGCACGATACACGAGGATACCTAAAATTGACTCTATATCACTTTACCAGGTAGACCATCTTAGAAGATCTGGTGATTATCCGTCAAGTGATATTTAGTCAATTAGTTTAACTCTCAACCCAAATCTCTTGTGTTGAGGTGCTCACAGTCTAGTGGATACACATTCTGCTTGATACAATGTCGAGTTCCTCTCTTTCCCTTTTTTTTTTTTAGAAATTTTCTTCTCTTTCTTCATTGCATTCTATCCGATTCCAGGGTTGGCCAGTTTCATTTCACCTCACAGACCATGTGATCCCTTTTCCAGTGTTCTAGCGTCTTCTTCCTCTTGCACTTCTGCATGTGGCTCTCAGAAAGATGTACAAAATTTATGAAGGCTTTTGTGTAATGAATGTCTAACACTACAAACATTGTGGAAATTCTAAAAAAAAAAAAAAATTTTAAAGACTATTTAAAGTCAACCACCTATGCAATACCCATATATCATGACCTGTCACCAGTCAACAAAATGTCAAATATCTGTAAAGTTCTGAGTAATTTTCATCTATCTAGATGCCTACACATTCCCTTGGCTGTAATGACCCCATGGAGCCCTGCCCAGGGGAAATGTTAAGGTTTCTATTAGACTGTAAGCATCTTGAAGTCAAGGGACTTACGCCTCTTCATATTCCGTATAACCACCTGCCATATATACTCCAACAGCAAAATAAATGCTTACTGCAAACAAATCAATCATCCTTACCTACTTTGAAAATGTCTGAGTACATAAAAAGTGAAGTTCAGGGGGGATACCGTGATGAATCTGGTAGTAAAGTCAACTATGCCTTCAAACTCAAAAGAGCCTGAATCTTTATTAAAAGTCCTTCTTTGAAACTGGCTGTTTTCTACAACTGGAAACAATAGAAACAATGGCTTTTTCATAGCAGCTGATGTGAACTGCATTCCCTTAAACCAGGCTAAGATTCTCCTAGTGCAAATTTTAAAGTACTGAAAAAAAAAATTCTTTAATTAATTTTGCCCTTATAAATTGCCGTGCATAGTTGTTATTTTTCACATGCAACAAGTTTTTAGGGTCTGATTCACTAGGTATCTTCTGAGACAGTCTGGCAAGACTTAATTTATTTGAGAGATCAACTCCAAATGGAGAATTTCATATAATTATATAAAAAGTAAAAGGAATCTGAAAAATGTTTTTACCAGTCATAGTTATTTTAACGTATACTAATTTGGGTATAGCTAACATAGTTTAGAAAAAAAGATCATCTGCTGCTTAGTATAAAAAGCTGCCTTTAAAAGAAAACTACTTTTCCTTGTACATTTACCAACAGCACATATTATACAGAAATCTTTCCTCCAGGGTGCTAAACCTCAGCACTGAATCTAGATAATCACTTCCACTTTCCAAAAATTGACCTTCCAAAACTGAAATGTAGGAGAGACTGGAAACACTGAATCCAACGGTAAAGGATTTTTTTTATTATGCTAATGATTTCCAAAGTGTAGTCACTTTAACTGCCAACCTAGTTTGTGGATAATTTAAGGAGTCATTTCCAGTTAAGGTTTTATTTAAGTATGCACGGAGGCCTAATATTATCAGTTACACACACACACAACCACAGCAGCGGCAAAGAAGCTAATAATAATGGAAATAATACCAATGATGATGATGAGGGAAGTCTTATGTGGTGCTATATATTACTAGCAAGCATTTTAAGCCCCTTAACATTGGTGAGCAAGTGCATAATAAACTAAAACTAAAACTAATAATAATAATACCCAAATTAGCAGGAACGGAGCCATGAAATAAAAGCAAAGGTGTTTGCCCAACATGTGCCACATGACAGGAGACAAATCCAGAAGGATGAAGGCTGTGTATACGGGGGAAATGGAAGGCAGAACCAGCCAGGAACGACTTTGCCCCTGAAGAGATCAATTCCCAACCCTGTGCACAGAGAGGATGAGCCGGGGCAGGGACCAGCAGACTGGGGAAGGGCACCAGGAGCGGGGAGTAGACTCTGTTTGTTGGGAAGGAGCCTGTGCTGTCCCTGGTGATAAAACACAGCTTCGTCCGCTCCTGAAGGAGGCCGCCAGACCAGCCCTCTGAAAGCAGAGCACGCGGGAGTTACCCGGAAAACCAGTGAAAAACAGACTGATTCCGTATGCCCGGGCAGGGCCAGAGAGTCTGCTCATCTAACAAGCTCCCAGCTGATGCTGCCGGTCCGTGGACCACACCTGGAGCAGCTGCCCTGGAGGGCAGCTCAGCCGATGGTGGGCAGAGAGAGAGAGAGAGAGAGAGTTTAACAGAAAGGCCATCACCTGCTGGGCAGGGCACAGGCCAGCTGGGCTCCTGCTCTCCCCTCACTTCCTGGGTCTCCAGTCCTTCACCTGTAACACCAGGAGGAAGAGTCCATCTCTAAGGTCTCTTTCTAGCTTTACAAATTTGGGGCACGGATGGAGGCTTGTAGCCTGAAGAGCTTACACCTCCTAGGTCAGGTAGTGAAGAGGAGGGCAGAGCTTCAGGCAACGGGAGGCTACCCAGCAGTTGCACTTGTCCCAGACAAGACTGGAAGAATTTACATGCTCCTGTCATCTTATCCCTTTATCCCTCGTGGAATGCCCAGACAGAAATACAAAATGATGTGTGCACAAGGCTATTTACTGAAAAACAACGGACAAGTCTGGGAATAACCCGAATGTCCATCGGTAGGGGATCGACTGAATAAATCTAATACATTCATACCAGGGTGAATGTATTAATACACGAGGAGATGTAAAAGAGATCTAAAGAGATGTAAGAGATGTAAAAATACACGAGGAACTTCTCTATAGACCGGTCAAAGTTCTCTATATGCTGATACTAAGAAAATTGCAAAAACAAAAACAACTCTAACAATATATAAAGTTGGTATCGCAATCATAGAGAAACATGGTCTCACTTGACTTTAAAATGTGTTTTTATTGTACATCCCTGGTGGGATCTAAGATAAAAAAGAATTGTCAAGAAATATTAAACTGTATCCAATAGTAATAAAGATAGCAAAATTTTAGGGGTGCCTGGGTAGGTTAGCATTGAAGTGTCCAAACTTCAGTTCAGGTCATGATCTCACGGTTTAAGTTCGAGCCCTAGGTCAGGCTCTGTGTGATAGCTCAGAACCTGGAGCCTGCTCTGGATTCTGTGTCTCCCTCTCTCTCTCTGCCCCTTCCCTGCTCATGCTCTCTCTCTCAAAAAAAAAAAAAAACAAAAAACAAAAAACAAAAAAAAACACCAGATACTAAAAAAAAAAAATTTTTTTTAAATGGCAAAATTTTAGGAAGTGTTGAAGTTGGGTTATAGGATTTCATTATGCTCTTTGCCATCATGCAGTTTTCTCTATTTTTGTATAGATTTGAATAATTTTTTAAAAATCAACTTTCCAGAAGTGCCTAGGTGGCTCAATCGGTTGAGCATCTGACTCTTGATTTCAGCTCAAGTCATGATCTTATGGGTTGTGAGATCGAGCCCCACGCCGGGCTCCTCACTAGGCTTGGAGCCTGCTTAAGATTCTCTCCCTCTCCCTCTGTCCCTCCCCCTGCTCACACTCTCCCTCAAAAACAAAAAAAAACAAAAAAAAAAAAATCAATTTTCCTGGTAACCTTTAATATTAACACACATGCACACCAAGTAAGAATGTAAGAAAGAGCACAGATGAGCAGCAAAGCCAACTTTAGGCCAAGGTGAACGACAAGGTTCCTAATATAAAATGTACATACAAGCAGGCAAGCGGGGGGTGGGGCTGACCCCTACTACAACATAACATAGTCCACATCTGTAAGACTTTACTGTATTCAAATACATTTTATAGGATCTCATTCTGTGTTCACAACAAAATTTCCCGTGACTATTTAGCACATTTAGAACTAAGGTAATTGACTCAAACCGGTTCAAACCCATGTTATCCTATCTCCAAGTCCAGTGCTTTCATACGCTGTTCCCCAGTACCCGCACCGACAGAGGAGTGGGGTGAGGGCCATGGCCTAACAGCACTGCCAGCAATTTCAAGTCCAAGTTTAAAAATTCATGCTGATTTCCATTTCCTCCCAAATACATATGGGTTTAGCACTTTTAGTGATTTGTCAAATGGAATAGACCCACATGTATACTTTGTACCTTTATGAACCCTGGAAGCACAATTCCTTCTTCCAGCTTCAGAGGCATTCAATTACACCAGGGTGCACCGGGACAGTGACATCTGTCACCCGGATGCCTTTGGAGGCCCAGCAACAAAAAGGGACACGTCCCATTGTCCAACTAGCGCATTGCTGGTAGCATTCCCAGCCGATAATATTTCAATCGGCACCTACAAATACACTTTCTGTTGATGTAACTTTTTAACCTGAAAATTCTGTCTAGTCTTTTAAATATACCACCTAGAAATGAGTCAGTGCAATGGCAGGCAATTAAAATCACATAACATGGTTTGCAATTGCTCAAGCCGACTCGGGCGCATTCTGGAAAGAGGCACTTCATGGCTATCCTGAGCAGAAAACTGCGAGATGAACGAGGAACTCAACTTCACAACAGCCTATTTCAAGGGGGGGAAGGTGAGAGGACAGTAACATTTATGAAATGGTAAGGTTTTTTTGTTTTTTTTTTTTTAAGAACAGCTTAGACTTATAGCATTATTCTAAAGATAGTACAAAGAGATCCCATATACCACATATCTGGTTTCCCCAACTATTAACATTTTACATTAGTATGATACATTTGCTCAATTAATGAATAGAGGTTGATACATTAACTGAAATCCAGGCTTTATTCAGATTTCCTGTTTTTCCCTAATGTCCTTTTCCTGTTCCCGGATGCAATTTTGATTTTTCTTACAATTTAAAATTCACCATAGGAAGACGATTTAAGCAAATATAACAAATGCAAGCATAAAAGACTAAAACAGCGCTTCTCAAAGCAAGAAAAATTCAAATATTGGATGAAACACCAACAAGATCGGCTCGTCAACAGACCAACCTCGACCTATATATAACTCCAGTAACCACCGTCTTAGAGAACTTGCCAAATAGGGAGTGAGTTTCCAGGTGTGAAAAGTGAGCTGTGGTATGGAGAACACCAATCTGAAAGTCAGGTTCCGATACTAAGGCTGGGTCAGTCATGCTAATAAGCCTACGTGTCATTTCAATCAGGTCCCCAAACAGCTTGCTAGGGTCAGAAACCTACAAAATACTTCTGTGGGTACTACAGGGACCCAAAGTATGTGAGCCGTTGCCCGTCTCCAGTCCGTTTGATCCAATGAAGGAGTTAGAAAGCACAGAAAGATGATCTTAAAGATTTCAAAGAGCAAGGCAAGATGACAGCCAACGTGGAGGAAACGAGCACGTGATTCACTGGAAGTGAACTCACTAAGGGCTTAGGCAAAAACTGCTGTAAGAACTGAAGCAGGAAGGGAGAAACCATGTCAGAATGATTATAAAAGGAAAGCCAACCTTTCTGGGCTAGAGTTCATCTCAAGAGAGAAGGTATTAGACGAAAGTGACTCTTGAAATCCCCTGCGGCGTCTCTAACTCCGCCATTCCTTTTCATTTCGGTCTCCAACAACGCAGCGAGGTTAGCAGCAAGGATACCCTGGCCTGTCATCAGCCACAGAGGGCCTTAGAGGACCACAAGCAAGTCTCCCCACCAGCTGCCACCGACAGAGAGCTTTTTCCTGCCTGACAATGAACAGGAATCCTCCGTTCAGGTGGATGATATTAGCAAACTACTAAGTAACTACTTAAAAAAAAAAAAAAAAAGATGTTAAAATAAGACACTTTGCCAATTAACTCGAACTTAAAAGAAAGACATTTTACTATCTTGAAGCTATGTTATATAAACCACATGCTCCATTAATCTGTTCATTCAACCAGGCCCAATTGAGCCCTCCTGCAAAACAAGCCAACAAGAAGCTTTTAGTCCTTTACGGAGAGGCTACAGAGATTTCAGCATTTCTGTGGCATTTTAAAGTTTGGACATCCCTTTAAAAGCAAGGTTTCTCAACAACCGTGGCACTGCTTTGCGTGGACACGTCTTTGTGGTGCAGGGCTGTCCCATACACTATAGATACACTACAAAAGGCTGAGCAGTATCCCTGGCCTGTCCCCACGAAAGGACAGTCAAAAAGGTCTCCAGACATTGCCAAGTGTCCCCAGCTGGCGAAATCGTCTCTGGTTGAGAACCTCTGCCTTAAAGTAATTCGTGATATGTATAAATAAATGCAACATGGTTTCAACAGTAACATAAGATTTCAATGTGGATTAAGTGACATTTTAAGAAACCTTCCAGAAATCACCAATCAGAAAACATAATCACACACAAAAAGCAAAAGTATGGGTTCCCCTCCCCTCAGCTGTCAGGAAATCAGTACTTTTATTTTTTTTTTAATTAATTAATTAATTTATTTATTTATTTATTTTTTTTTTTTCAACGTTTATTTATTTTTGGGACAGGGAAAGACAGAGCATGAACGGGGGAGGGGCAGAGAGAGAGGGAGACAGAGAATCGGAAACAGGCTCCAGGCTCTGAGCCATCAGCCCAGAGCTTGACGCGGGGCTCGAACTCACGGACTCCAAGATCGTGACCTGGCTGAAGTCAGACGCTTAACCGACTGCGCGACCCAGGCGCCCCATTACTTTTAAAACAATAAATAAATGTAACGTACAGACTTGCTAACTCCCCAGAAGCAAGGAATCTGGGTTAGAAATCATCTTCAATCCTCTCTGTTCTGGGATTCAAAAGGAAACATCAGACTCTACACACGGCAGCCAATCGGACCGAGCACAGGCAGAAGGTGGTCTGGGAAAGATGCCAAAATGGGACACCTCGTGACCACCGAGTGCCGCCCCAACCTACCACATTCCCACCTCAGAGGACCACGGGTGCACCGCCCAAGAGTCATGTTTGCCACCAGCGATGAAAACAGACCCCATTCCCCACAAGAAGATTAAGGCCAAGGAAAGAGGAAAGAGCTCATGAAAGTATGTGCCTTATAAATGCCTTAGGCTGATGTCTGGAGGTTTCCAACTTGTCACTCAGCTTCATTTGGGGGCGGAGAGGAATACTTCTATAAACAACAGGACGAGTAAGTTCTTAAGGGAAACCCGAGAGAATGCAGGTTCAGTGCCACTGGCTTTTTTAATAATTGGCTGTAAAAGCTGTTTCTTAAAAAATCATTTAAGGGGCGCCTGGGTGGCGCAGTCGGTTAAGCGTCCGACCTCAGCCAGGTCACGATCTCGCGGTCCGTGAGTTCGAGCCCCGCGTCAGGCTCTGGGCTGATGGCTCAGAGCCTGGAGCCTGTTTCGATTCTGTGTCTCCCTCTCTCTCTGCCCCTACCCCGTTCATGCTCTGTCTCTCTCTGTCCCAAAAATAAATAAAAAACGTTGAAAAAATTAAAAAAAAAAATCATTTAAAAAAAAAGACATTCCTCATTTTTGTGGTTACGGAAGCTCTTTCTTCTCCTCTTTTAGGTGCCAGCGTGAACATGTATGTCAACTCACCACCGTAACAGATTTAGATCAGAAGAAAACGGCTAACTCTACCCACCCTGTAGGGGCAAGGCCACCCCGATGCCTTTTTCTTTCAAGAAGCGATGCCAATGGATAGTCTCTCAGAAAGAAGGGAGGGGATGGCCGCCAAGGTGGCTTAGAGACCCAGGCAGTCGGCACCTGGGCTGGGAGATGTCGATCACCCAACACCCCCACCACCCGCACACAAGTGTGATCAGCCCTCCCTGAAGCCGGCTCAGCGCAAAGGCTCACCAGATGGGTCTCTGGATTGCAGGAGCCGTCCGCCACGCGGTGCCCTGGGCAGCCGCTCCCTTCCACTGACTGCGGTTCCATGACTGTGGTTCCACCTCCTCTGGCTCACACCCAACTCACTCCCCCAACCCCCGAGGGGAAGAGCACCCATAGGGAACTGGTTGTGCCCGGTTTCTACAGGTGGGCAGATGGCTGGCAGAGAGAAAATCACAGGGGAGGACCAGGGAGTTCAACCCACGGGGTACTAACCAGGCTAAATGTTAATCACGGCATAGGATCGTCTACATTAAAGATCATTAACCAGGCGCTCGGGCCTCTTGGCAAAGAATGAGGGTTCACAAGCTGAAAAAATGCATTTAGAGAAAGTAGCAGCCTCTTGTTGCCAAACACAGCGTTTAGGTCATTTCAGGAGAAGGGCACCTCAATGGCGCAGAAGGAACAGAAGCAAACGGGGGGGGGGGCTTTGGCGAGGGTGGGGGGCACACTTCTTCCTCTTCTTCCAGAGCGGTTCTCCACCCATAGCCGCAGCTTATTTTCCGTTCTTCCTCATCCCTTACGAGGTGTAACCGTGACCTCACATGCAAGGGCGTCTACAGGTGAGGAATTCTCAACAGGTCAGGTCTGCAGAATCTGTGTCTCCAACTGTCCATTTCTAGGGGGCAACATCTCCTTTTAAGGTGATGGTTTAGACTCTACAATTCCGAGCCACGCAGAAAGAGGACGGCGTTTCCCTACTCATTCATTAAGCTGCCCTGCCTTTCCTCCCACATCCAAGGGACCCAATGCCACGCCATTCTCAAGCAAAACAAGAAGTCGCCATCAAGCAAACAGGGTCACAAGTTCAATTTCACACATTACCAACGGCCACGGTTTTGAAGGCTTCTGACAAGTGTTCTTTCTGACATGCTTCAAGCGGCTGCCCAGGGGCAGGCTTACCGCCCCCCCACCCCCACCCCACCCCCACATACACCCTCCTCCACCGCTCAGCCCAGCACGGGCTCCGCAGCCAGCCCTGGTCTGAGGCAGCCTGAGAGTCTCTTGTTCTGGACTCGCCCGAAAAGAGCAAGCACTACCCTGCCTTTCCATTCCAGTATTACATAAGTCAGTTTCCCTCCAATTATCTATTGGCCACAAAGCATTATTTGTGACCGAAGTATAAAGAAAAGAGAAGAAAAGGAGAACCACACTAATTCCTGCTAGCGAGATGAACCTGAAATGGAGACGCAACAGATTCCCGGAGATTCATTTCTATATGTGTTTTTAATCACCTTTAACCTGAGTACTCTAACTTAGGGTCAAGAGAACAGAAGTGCCAGTTTTATTTTCTCTTAAAGGGGATACCCATTTATATGTCTGGAGGCTGGCAAATGTGGGGGCAAAGATTATCAGACACTTGATTGACAATTCTGAAAAGTTCCAGATTGAATGCCCATCCACAGAAGAGCAAAATCATTTAACCCGTGTGAACACGAGGGAAAACTCAACTTAGGAGTCATGGGACTCATCCTCCCGCATTTCCTGTAAAGGTTATAAAACAAAGGAGGCGTTCGTTTAGCAGGAGATGAGCCTAAAACAACGAACAGGTACACCTGTCCCACCGTGGCCTAGCTGACTGCATTCACGGTGTTTAAACTGAACAATGAACTCTAAAAAGAAAAAACATTTCAAAATAAAAAATCTAGCCTCACTTCACCTGGAGTTCTGTACCAAATTCCCGAACTCCGCACGACAGATCCCTTCGCTGGGTCTATTTTTGACATTTCAGGAACACAGTGATGACAAATGCACTAATTTATTCATAAAAGGGGGGTGCGGGAGAGCAATCTCTAGAATAGTTTTTCAGAGCACTAAAAAAAAAAAAAAGGTCTCACGCCAGATGACACAGGTTAAACACATACTTACAAATTTTTACTGGATGTGCTTTGATTTTTGAAGCAGGCGAAAAACGTTTAAGTGACACGAAAGGAAAAAAAGAAATCAAATAATTCCCCCAATCCTGGCAGATTTAGATTAAAGCTACCAAATCCATTAGGAGAGAACGTTCTCCCGACGTGAACCAAGGAAAACGGAATCCTTTGTGGCACTTACCAGATTCGGAGCAGGAAGACCTCGCTTTAAAAGGGGAGAGAGACAGAAAGGCTGGTCTAGATGCAGATGGTTGTCTGTTTCCCCTAACAACAGCAGCAGCGAGGAGAAATCCTGGTCTCTGCCGGTTCCCCGTTGACAGGTGATCAGCAGCCCGGAGCTGGAGGCACTGTGCTGTGTTTGGTTGGGGGGTGGGGGTGGGGGAGGTTTCCAGGGGAGGGTTCTGCAAGCAGCGACCGCCCAGGTAGGGCCCCGCTGAGAGCCACCCACCCGGGACACCCTCGAGCTGTACCGGCTGGTGCCGTGCTGAAGCCTGTCTGGGCTGGAAGCTGTTGCTGCTGCCTGCGCCTTGATCGAATCAGGAGCAAATTCCAAAGTGGGGAAGAGAGGAAGTTGTTCGTCTGAGGCGGCGGAACCAATGACTATAGGAGGAACTTTGTGGATTCAAGAGACACCAACCACAGGACACAGCCCCCAACGCTGCCCGTGCGGCAGAACCGCATCGGGAAAGTTAAGAGCCGATTTCCAGGAAGAAGGGCGCACACCTAGCCTAGCTGAGGCGACCCTGCAACCTGAGGAACCCTAAGGCACACAGTGTCCCTTCTTGAAAACTAATGGCGTTTCCCCCCCTAAATGTTCATGCCGATGTTGAAAGGACATTCAAGCAAATGAAGGAATCTTTCTGGGTACTAGTGTTTAAGAAATTGATCAATTGCCCTCCTCTGGATGGAATGAGCACGTATTTTCATCACTAGCTTTGGAGTCCATCTCTACCACCTTACCAGCAGGGGGTCCCTGGGTTAAGTATGACCTGCCCACTTCTAGCTTCCTCATCTGTTTAAAAAAAAAAAAAAGGAGCCTTGAAACCACCTTCACAGATTGTTGTGAGGAATGAGATCCTGGGGCGGGGGGGGGGAACCCACAGTCCACAGTCAATGGGCCTGTGCCCCATCACGTCCCCATCTCCTCTAACAGCTTGTGGCCCTAAGTCAACCACAGCCACCCCCTCTTACCTACCTTCCATTTAAAAAGCGATCCAATGCATACCCAACAGCAAAAGATGTTTCTCCTGTTCTCTTTTAACCAATGTCTCCAACAGTTAGGAGACCAATGTAAAAACCATTTTAGCACTCAAAGGTCAAAGCCAGATCATGTGGCCCCTCAGCCCAAACCCTGAGAGGTAAACCAACTTGCGGCCCAAGTTAGAAGAGGTCTCTGACCCTAATTCCTTGGCAACATCCCACTGCAGAGCCAAGAACACTTGGCGTGCTCACTTCTAAGAGTCAAGAATGTGCAGGGGGGAAAAACAGGCACTTAACTGAGCTAGAAGTCTTTTTCCTTAATGCTTCCTTTGAAAAGGCAGTGATTTCTTAAAATGGAATTCGCAAGTTGCTTATTATTCTACTCTTTGACAACAGCTCAAGTAACCCTTCAAGGCAAGTAGAGACCTTCAGTGGGAGGGGGAGTCCCAGAGGCCCACTGGGGCCAAGAAGCCGCCATCACCATCTGGTGGTGGCTCTCGAATACTGCAGTCATGAACCCCGCACCATCTTCAACCCATTCTTCAAGAAGCGGCGTGTCCGAATTTCTGCTTTACTGACTTGCTGAAAGTGAGTTTCGCTGCTCAACTGACAATCGTGCTTTCACACCACACCCGCTTTCACACCACAACTTCTTCCCCGCCTTCGTTCTTTTCCACTGACTTCTGATCAGGCCGCTAAACACAAGAGGGAGGACCAAAGTTCCGTTCTTCCCTATGGCTCCTGTCCCCAGTTCGACGCCTGGTGATTTGGTTACAAAGAATGAGATTCCCAGAGGAAAGAGAAGCAAAGAGAAAACACTGAGAAAAGAGAAGCAAAGAGCCGGTATGTTCCCCGAAGGTAACAGCCAAGAACCAACTGGAAAATACGAGGCAGGCATCTCTACCAAGTAAAGAGGCCAGTTGTAGACCCAGGACGTAACAAAGACGAGGCAGCACGGACCTGGCCAGTGAGCAAGTCTTGGGTGGGTTCGGGGAAGTTGTTCTGTGCCGCTGGAGGACAGAATGTGCTGGAAATTGGCTCACAAAGAGCAGCCCAGCAGGTAACGTTTGAAAAAAAAAAAAAAAATGCTCCCAACCACTTCACTCCTCCAAAGCCTTTATCAATCTCTGGTGAATAGATTTAGGTCCTGGAGGCTCTCAGAAGCAGGTAACAACTTCAGGGAAAATATGCCAGAGGAAGCGAGGGCCCCGGAATAGAAATTGGAAATTTATATTTAAGTGGCATCACTGGGATATGCTCTAAAATGATACTAGGGGGGCGCCTGGGTGGCGCAGTCGGTTAAGCGTCCGACTTCAGCTCAGGTCACGATCTCGCGGTCCGTGAGTTCGAGCCCCGCGTCAGGCTCTGGGCTGATGGCTCGGAGCCTGGAGCCTGTTTCCGATTCTGTGTCTCCCTCTCTCTCTGCCCCTCCCCCGTTCATGCTCTGTCTCTCTCTGTCCCAAAAATAAATAAACGTTGAAAAAAAATAAATAAAATAAAATGATACTAGGGATTTCTAAGCAAGTAGTAGGGGAAGACCGTACATATGGGTTTTACACGCAGCTGTACAAAGGCCTGGGGACCAGCTGGCACATCTTTCTTTGTATAGTAGCAACATCTGCTTGGAACAGAATAGAAGAAAGTGCTCCTTTAGTTACAAACGAAGACTGGAATTTTCAGGACTTTATTTACTACGTAAAATGTCCTTCCTTTTTTTTTTTTTTTCCTTTTTTTCCTACATCAGCCCAGTAGGTTATTTGCAACAATTCTAAAATTAAGGACCCGACTGACATTCACTTCAATTTTCTCTAGGCATACCTTGGAGACATTTCGGGTACAGTTCCAGAATGCCACAATAAGCAAACATCAAAATAAAGGAATCAAATGAAGTTTCTGGCTTTCCAGTACGTATAGAAGTTATGTTTATATGATACAGGAGTCTATTACGTGTGCAATAGCATTCCGTCAAAAAAAAAAAAAGTGCGCACCTTAATTTAAAATTGCCTTATTGCTAAAAAGTGCTAATCGTCATCCGAGCTTTCAGTGAGTCACAACCGCACATCACAGATCACAACAAATGTAATAATGAGGAAGTTTGAAGTATTGGGAGAATGACCAAAATGTGACACACGGATGCACAGTGTGCAAATACTGTCAGAAAAAATGGCACCAGTAGACTTGCTCAACGCAGGGTTGCCACGAGCCTTCAGTTTGTATTAAAAAAAAAAATCTATAAAGCAGAGCACAATAAAACAAGTTATGCCTGTCCTAGACTAATTCAAGAGGTATGTCTCAGTACATTATCTTCCAATCAAATGTACACTCTCACGTATAAAAGAGCGCACGTGTAAGATAGCTCATGAGTATTACTATTAGCTCTTTCCTAAACGCTTCCATGTATATCAACTGGCAAAAAGATAAAATGAGATAAAATACCCTTTATCAAGAAACACAGTCCACATAGAACACCCCCCTCCCCGTGACACAGGCCTTGCTGTCTTTTTGGCCACTTTACTTTAAAAACCTCGGCAACCGTCACAAGCACACCCCCGAGGTCCCACAAGCTGCCGTGCTGTGATGGAACACGACAGTATCTTTAAAACAATCAGAAATCAAGCAAGCAGAAGGACAATTCCATGCATTAACGCATCCCGCCCCCCCCCTCCTTTGTAAATGACCCGTGTTCTAGGGCCATGCTGAGCTCAAATGAGCCGCTTTTGACAAACTCCTGGAGGCCCAAAACTCTGTCCTCTCTGGCTCCCAGCACACCGCCTTGGACCTGAATAGACAGTTAGTAAATTCCGCCGAAAGACAGATGCGAGCACCCGTGAGTCGTATCCCCGCAAACTAACCCCGCAAAAAGCGCAGTCACTGGTGTTCGGCCAGGCAGGAGACAAATGAACCGGAGCACGTCAAGGCAGCCTAGTAAAAAACCATTAAAAGTGAGGGGTACACTGTCAAAGGGCTAACATGAATCACCAGACTGGGTAAGCCGGGGGTCGGGACACCTGCAGACCAACCCTAATGGTGCCATTAACTACCCTCTTCGCTGGACTTGAGGCAACTTCACGTATTAACCTCTCTTAAATCATCAAATGTCTCACAGGAAAGGAGTCGGGGAACTTGCCCGCCATCTCCTCTCATTATTAAATCAACGGGTACCTTACACCCAGTCGGTAGTGCTGAGGACTGGGAATCATTTGTGCTCCTGAGCCCCAATTTAATCTCTTGATCTCAGAATGGTGCTATGTAAGGCAGGTCCTTGTTCTACGGTTTCTAGATCCAGCCTCACGTAGTTAAGAACCCAGGCTTGAAGGCTCAGCTCGGATGCTGTCTCATTCAGCAAGTATTTAGCAAGCTCCTACCACATGCCGCGTAGCACGAGTACCACGGGGACACGAGGGCTTCTGGGATGGAAGGGCTGGCCTCTTACTGCCCGTCCAGGTCTTATTTTGCTGAAGCCTTCAACACCTGTCATCTGTGCACACGATGAACTACTTAGCTTTCACACGGAGTTCTAGATTGATGTAATTGTTTTCTAATGAGCCCATCTCACCAATAAAACTCTAAGCTGCTACAGAGGAAGGCCAGTGTCTTCCTTAGTAATTTACTAATTATCTTGGAGCCAGTCTTCTGACAGCCTCAGCCGTGGAAACTCAGCTGCAAAACCCAAATAAACCGAGAAACAGCTTCTGAACTCTGAAACAGCAGCACCATCACCGGGCTCTTGGGCTCAGAGCTTCACTTACTCCAACACCATTCTGAACAAGCTTCATTATTTTGCTTCCCATTACACAGATCAAGTTTCTAATCTCATTAAAGTGCAGTAAACAGCAGTGCTACTATAAAAATCTAAACACACCAATAAAAAGTATTCATTGATACAAATAGCAATTAAAAATCTCAGCCATTATAATTATCAGCCCAGTGAGCAACCAGTTCATCATTGAAAGCTCTTTTTTATCACTGCTTTAATTCTCTAGAAGGTACAAGAGGATGGCTTCAACAATTGGGGTAAAAAGGTCTATTCTGAGGCTCAAATCACAGGTTCTCACTCAATAAGAGGCATTTTTATTTTCTAAAACTAAAACTTTTCCAATTTTTATGAAAGCAATGTAGATTTTTTTTTTTTAGTTCATTTATTTTGAGAGAGAGAGAGAGAGAGAGAGAGAGCGAGCGAGCATGCGGGAGAGGGCAGGGAAAGAGGGAGATAGAGAATCCCAAGCAAGCTCCATGCTGTCTGTGCAGAGCCCGATGTGGGGCTCGAACCCATGAACTGTGAGATCATGACCTGAGCCGAAATCAGGAGTCAGGTGCTTAACATACTGAGCCACACAGGTGCTCTGCAATGTAGATTCTTTACGGGAAAATTATACATACAAACACAGGCAAAGGAAGAAAACCTACACCTAGGAATCCCTTTCTCTAATGCTATATACATTAGCATGTTACCACCCTTTCAGATTGTCTACATTTCTGTTTATTTTTAGGTTTCTTACAAAAAGATGGGATCAGGGGCACCTACGTGGCTCAGTCAGTTAAGCGCCTGACTTTGGCTCAAGTCATGATTTCACGGTTCATGAGTTCGAGCCCCTCATCAGGCTCTGTGCTGGCAGCTCAGAGCCTAGAACCTGCTTCAGATTCTGAATCTCCCTGTCTCTCTGCCCCTCCCCCACTCACACTAGGTCTCCCTCTCTCTCATAAATAAATAAATATTGGAAAAAAAAAAAAAGATGGGATCAAGGGCGTCTGAGTGACTCAGTGGGTTGAGCCTCTGACTCTTGATTTCAGCTCAGGTTGTGATCCCAGGGTTGTGGGATCGGCCGGCATTGGGCTCCATG